TAACCACTTTAACTGAGAGCGAAATTCTGAAACGTGATCATATTTGCGCAGGGCGAAGATGAATCGGATACAGTTGTTAAGTAACCTGTTCAACCTGTTTAGCAGCTCCTGAGAAATATTAGTTAGACAAACATCGGCATAGTCAAATAATGGAAGAATTAGAGATTGGACGAGAAGACGTTTAGTTGAAGGGGGCAGAAAGAACTTAAGGCGATAGAAGGAAGGAAGGAAGGAAGTATGCCAGTGACTTTACGACAAACCTCGGACACCTGTGATATCCAACTAAGAGACGGGTCGATAATTAAACCCAGATCCTTGATACTATTTCTGAAGGGTATAACGCAGTTTTCATAGTAAATGGATGGTAGTTCACCTGTTCTTAATGTATGCACTCTCTATATTCTTGTTCCAATTTTCGATAAAAATTTAAATAATATGTAATTATTTAATTGTTCATTTTTTGTCTCCGGCATTTTAAAACTTATTTTTTGCTAAATATGATTTAATTGGAAATTTTTTGTTGCTGCCATTTGTTTACACATTTAATTTGTTGATTTTCATTAATAATTGAGCCTTCACGTTACTCTTAAAATTGGAAACACTAAACGTTGTCTAAAAAAAAATTCACATCTTTCGAAATTGGAAGTGTCCATTTCTTTGTGATTATACCTATTTGTTTTTTTTTTTACTTCAAATGTCCACAATTCATCTTTAAGAATACCGTCCGTTGTTTACAGTGCATGTAATAATTTTTTATTTAAAAAAAAATACTAGTAATGTTATTAAACATTACTAATGTTCCCTTTAACCACTTCTGCTAAGCTTAAAATGCTTGTGTTAGAAGTGGTTCACGACAGTAGTCGAATGGCGGATTCGAACCCACGACCTTTCGAGTTCGCGGTCCGCGTCCTGCCATTAGGCTACTGACGCTTAATTCTCTACTTTGGTTTTGGAACCCCGTACTTTAACACCTTAAAATGTTTTTCTTTTTAGAATACGGGTTACAAACGGGCACACAGTCCATCTGATGTTAAGTGGATGCTGTGGTCTATAGACATGTATATATTTCCTCGATTAAGAGTCAAAATGCCGATGCGTTGTCACACCTGAAGATGATGATGGAATGTCTCGTTAATAGTTAAAAGGGACTCTTGTTATCTACACTCACCATACGAAAAAGCAGCATTAGGCTGCTATTTGACGTTAGGTATTCTGTAAGAGCGTGGTCGCCGGTCGAGCCAACACATGCTACAACCATAATATGGCTGCAGCATTGCTCTGAAAACGCCTGTCTTCCATTGCATGCCGTAAGCGCAACGCACGTAGGTAGGTTCTACTAGCGCCTAAAAGTAAAGATTCCAACGTTTTGTCGCATGAAATCGTATCTAGCAATCATATTTTATACATATAAATGATATAAAAAGCACATTGTCAGAAAGATAAATGATTGTTGAACTTATTAATATATTTTTAAATCGATTAATTGCTAATTTTAAATAAAAAAGGGGTTTTAGTGGCTTATGGTGTGGATTTATCAAGTCCGTATGGCTTCGTAAACACGATAACTTTTGTAAATATCAATTGTTCAACTGAATCCATTTTTCAAACTCTTCATCTATCATGTGGGAAGCCATTGAATGTAAATGGCAGTTTAATTTTGTTTTGTTTAGTTATAATTAATTTTTTTTCGGCTGCTAAATGTCGAAATTTTAGCAGCCTTGTGTGAATTCATTTCAGTAAACAGACACTGCCTCACTCGGTTAGTTCAGCGTAAACCGCCGTTGTGAGTTGATACTGTATCGGTTGTTTGCAACGGCTCAAAAATATCGCTGTACAAATAAATAAAAATATTCGAAAAACAAATTTCAAACATATTCGATTATTATAATAATCAGAGATTTTTATTACAATATTTTAAAAGCACAGAATAAATAATAGTAGTACGTACTAAAAGTAAGTAGGATGTAATATTATACTTAAATACGTCTTGGACTTTATGGTTTAACAGTGGTAGAGCCACGCGGCAGATTTTGCTGTCGCACGGATGGGCCGGCTCGAACCGGGGTGGTACCACGACCTCACAAAATACCAGCGTGAAGTAGAGGTTTACATCTGCGTTTCGCTTGGTGAGTGCAGGTGGCCCTTTTTACTGGAAATGAGGCATTCCATCTTAGTCCTCACGGGTGACAACGCATCTGCATTTTGATTTGTAATGGAGAATAGATGTAGATGTCTATGGGCCGCAGCAACCACTTACCATCAGGTGGACTGTGTGCTCGTTTGTCACCCTTATCCTATGGTACGATACAATTGTAGGGAGGATTTGCGGCATAGGTCTCTCAAATTGTAGGGAGGAACAGACGTCACACCTTTGACTCTGCTGTCTGTCGCTGGTCTCGATATTTTACGTCTTGCGTAAACGACATAGTTATACCGCCATCTGTAGGCATCCAAGAGATTTTTCTGGCATTTCTCATTGTCGTCTCTTACGACACCCACGATACGAAATAGGGTGATATTCTTTTCCCTCCATCACATTGAGGTAATATGTACTCCGATGATATTCCGTACGTCAGTCTGAGCAAGAAGATTAGAATGGCTGTCCAGCACCTTAAAAACGGCAGGTCCCCGGTTGAGGATCAAATTACAGCGGAACTTCTGAAAGCGGGAGGAAAACCAGTATTTGAAGTGCAGAAGCTCTTTTAATTCCGTCCTCCATGGTGGCACTGCACCGGAGGCGTGGAACAGAAGTGCCGTGGTCTTGTTCTTCAAGAAAGGCGACAACGCCCTCTTGAACAACTACAGACCGATTTCCCTCCGATTGGAAGACGTTTTCAAGCTGCACTACAAAGGATATGGTATTAACATCAATGGCGAGTACATAACTCAACTTCGATTTGCCGATGATATAGTCTTTATGGCAGAATCGCTGGAGGACACTATGCTCAATGACCTCAATAATGCCTCCCAACGGATAGGTGTTAAGATGAACATGGACAAAACAAAGATCATATGTAACGTCCATGTCACATCTATGGTAGCAATAAGCTCGAAGTTTAAATAAAACTAGTTTTACGGATTTTATCGCGTATATTAACTTATTTTATATTCCCGACGTTTCGAGCACTTTACAGCACCCATGGTCACGGGGGGGACTGAGGTGTATGACGTGACCTCCTAATGTCATAGTTAACCACGGCTACCTCCAGATCAAAATTATTAATTTTGGTTCCGATCTACGCTTTTTATCTGGAGGTAGCCGTGGTTAACTATGACATTGGGAGGTCATACACCTCAGTCCCCCCCGTGACCATGGGTGCTGTAAAGTGCTCGAAACGTCGGGAATATAAAAGAAGTTAATGTACGCGATAAAATCCGTAAAACTAGTTTTATTTAAATGTGTAGTGTTCGCGTAAATATAAGAAATCATTAAGCTCGAAGTTATTGACGAGTATGTTTACCTGGGACAAATAAGCCGACTAGGTAAGTCTAACTTTGGCAGAGAGGTCAATAGACGGATTCAACTCTGCTGGGCAGCGTTCGGGAACTTACGAGACATCATCTTCTCGTTAGGTATACCTCAAAACTTGAAAACAAGATTGTACAACCAGTGCGTGTTGCGCGCAGTGATGACTTATGGATCTGAGACGTGGTCCTCCACTGCTAGCCGTATGAGAAAGCTCAAGGTCGCTCAGCGATGCTATGAAGAGCTATGCTTGGGGTTTGCGTGATAAACTTAGAAATGAGGATATTCTCAGTAGAACCAGAGTGATCGACATTGCCCAACGGATTAGTAAGCTGAAGTGGCAATCAGCCGGCCAAATATCTCGAAGAACCAACAACCGATGGGGAAAAAAAAGTTCTCGAGTGGCAGCCTCGTACCGGTGGGCGACCCCCACTAGATGGAGTGACGACCTGGTAAGACATGCAGGAAGTCGATGGATGCAGATAGCTCAGGACCGTGCTTTGTGGCCTATGTTCAGCAGTGGACTTGTGAAGGGATGTAATGAGGATGAATATGTACTATGAACTTGAACAGACACCTTGAACAAAATCTATGCGGCAATGCGTGGTGCGTAGTCTGAGGCACAGTACCCCTCATTGAGTATGAACGTTTATTCTCCTTTCCCTATCCTCTGCCGTGGAAACTGTACTGTAGTGAAATAAATCCATGACTCCCTTCAAATCCCTTGTTTATTTTTATATATAATCCTACAGATTAAAGTTTATTTATAATCAACACTCTTTTTCCCATAAACGTTTATTATTTCAACATTCATTGTAGTCCCTTAACTATGTTAGGTTACCATACCGTGTCGCTGAGTAGGTTAACATTGTTTAGAACAATACATTATAATTATTATAAAATTTGCCATAAAAAAATTTAAAAAAGTCTCATAAAATTCTACAAGCCACAAAAATAGCAAGTAGTACAGTTAAAACTATTTTAACTATGTATATATTAGCATAATTTCTTATATTAGATAAGGCCACAAAATTATATAATACCATCCTATTAATTATTTAAAAAAGTACAATTTTACCGATCTGTCAGATACCTATTAAAAATAGTTTGTTATGATTGGAAAAATTTGTGACAATAAATATGTCGAAAGTTTAAGAATTGACAATATTCTTACACTTAATAACAATGGCTGATCATAGTCCGATAGGTCAGCATTCCGACACGCCCGAAGAGATCAGACCCAGTACTAACGAGCTGCTCATGAGAATTTCCAAAACCAAACCAAATACAATAAACAGTCCGACCGGATATTTGAACCCGGGAGCACATGATCAGTGTCGAGCTTACAAAAAAAGTAATTAAATATTTTACAGTGGGATGTTTGCCAAGTTAAATATAAAGGGTATGTGTCAGTCTATCGCTTGTTTTGAGAGTCTAACTATTAAACATACTTAAACGTAAAACAATTTGAAGTTCTCTTGAAGACTAAACAATATTTTAGAGGTAGAAGTACAAGTTACCTTCTCGTTAAAATCTATGGGAAATATTTTTCTGGCAAGTTCATTCCGTCCAATCGTTTGTAAACTTCGAGCATAGTGGGCCGTTCCTGTCTGTTGTATTGTGTGCAATGCAGACCGATTGCTGCGAACTCCCGACACAGTGAAGGATTCGAATTTGGCGTGCCGCGTATGTTGCGATCTTCTAATGCGGCTGGCAAAAAAAAATAATAATAAGCACATTACACACATTTGTATGTTTACATATTTGTATTACATTGTAAATACACATTACTTCCGAAAAAGAGAACATATCTAATGTAGCAATGAAATGACTTATATGTTTTCATTATGACCTTTCGTGCATGGACATTAAGTATATATTTAAATGCCGCGTATGTTGCGATCTTTTAATGTGGCTGCCAAGGGAAATACAATAAGCACAATTAATCGATCTTATTTAAAATGCAAATTTATTATCTACATATTATTTTCGAAAAAGAAATCATAAGATCTAATGTAGATATTAAATGCCTTTTACAATGTGATATTATTTGATTTTAAACTTTCGTGCATGGGCATTAGGTTTATATTTAAATTACCCCGCATTATGGATTTATCGTATCTCATCACTAATAATCTTCTTTTTTTTAAGTTAACTAATTCAATATGATATTTTTCTCGTGTACTGTGAAAGCATTTAACATTATATATAAATAGCACAGGTTATCACTTGTTCGATGCGGAATTCTAACCCGCAGCCCCGTAGTGTCTCAGGCAAACGCTTAGCCAATATGCTACCGAGTTGTTAACTTTGAAGTGATCGATCTCAAATTATTGTTTCACAGAGAAAAAGAAACTTCAGTGGTGACTTTATTAATCACTAATTTATGAAAATAATGTTATTATCTACACTTATATATTCATTCTTGTATTACAGCCTATTACAAGTGTTGCTGAACATAGGCCTGCCCCATAGATTGTCTCAAAAGGTATTTGCCAGTTGCGGCGATTGGCAATCACACTAATTTTAAAGGAAACTATTTTTTTTACGGATTTTATCGCTTTTAATTTAACTTTTTAAATTACGACGTTTCGGGTGCTTTACAGCACCCATGGGCACAGGGGGACTGAGGTGTTTGACGTCCCGATGTCATAGTTAGCCCGGCTACCTTCAGTTTTTGAATATTAATTTTTGGTCCGATCTACGCAGAATGAGCTTATAGGATCCAAGCAGATGGCAGCACCCATCCATCTTCTCTATTGAAATTAGGATGTTTTTTTTTAATTTCAATAGCCTCCGTAAAGAAATTGTTTCACTTAATGTGTAGTCTTCGCGCAAATATAAGAAATTTTATTTAACATTGAGGTATTATCAGGAAGATATGATCATCTTTTGTTTCAGTTACCCACTGTCGCATCTTGCGACATCCAAGGGATGATGATTTTTGAATTCTTTTACGCCGCCCACACGCGGCATTGTCTAAATACTGAAATATATATAAATAAAATAAAGATAAGGCCTCTCCATAGATTGCCTCATAGAGGTGATATTTTCCATAGTTGACACGCTTCGCACGCATGGCAAACGTAGTTTTTTTTTTTTGTTATTAGAAAGCTGCTGCCCATCTCCTGGTTTGTTTCCCACTGTCCTCTGTTCAACACCCATGGGACAATATGTGATAGTGGATATTCTTACACCGCCGCTATACATAGGTTATTTTACTAGAAATATTTGAATTCACAAACTACATAGCGCTATATAGCGCTGGCGTAGTATACTCCTATAAGGTAAGTGAGGGTAATATGGTCACCTTAAGCTTTGCCGCCTTATAAAACCAAAACGAGGAGGAGAACAGAGACAAATATACAATGTCGTATACTATTACTAATATAGAAAAAAAAAAACAAGCCTTGGCAATAATTAGCAACACTTCGAAAAATCAACTTAAAAAAAACTAACTAGCCTTTTTCATCCTTTATTATTTGATAGACTGATCAAGACCTATCGTATCACAGAGCGTTCTATGCAAACGACGCTGTAGATTTTGAGTTATAAGAAAGTGACCATATTAACCGGATGACCATATTACCCTCACGTATTCTAGTAATATATATAACACATTGACATAAAGTTAATATTTACCAAAATCGACTCTCTCGCGATTCTGCAAATGCATAAAGTCGCTCAAGAGTTGTACGGCCCTCGTCCTCTCCATAGCGGGCAGAGCCGTAGCCAACTCTAGCATTACCACGCCATAGCTGAAAACGTCCACGGCTGGGGACAGGTAGTGAGAACGCAGGTATTCGTCCGGCAGGTATGGTCGAGTGCCATGTACTCTGCGAAAAGGACGAAAATCACATTGATAAGAAATAAGGAATACTGTATTATTTGTATCTAATCTATATATACATATATAAGCGAAATAAAACTGACTGGCTGACAGACTCATCACGATATGTAATTTTTTTTAGTTACTCATTTCCCAATGTAGACGCTCACTAAGAACGGATTTAACGATAGTCCAATAAAAAAAGATGTTGATATTTTATATCTACGTTATTATCGTGCACCGAGCAGCGAAGAGAGCGGGTATCAACCAGTGTAGTATGTATATAAATAATGTTCTCGAGACCCAAATCCGGTCACGGCATTCGGTTTCACACGAGCACTCTCTATTCTCTCCTCAATCTCATAGTCCGATGGGATGGCCATCCGACACGATAGGAGAGTTCAGGTGCAGGACCAACGGCTTTACGTGCTTTCCGAGTCACGAGGGTGAAACACCGGCAATTTTCTGACTAATGCTGCTACTAGGAATCTCTTGAAAAAAAAAACCCCAAAAACTGATACTGGCCCGACCTGAGATTGGAATCCAGGCTCTCATGGTCAGCAGTCGAGCTAACCAAAGAGGCAGTATTATATTACTTATAAGTGTTGAAATTTGTTTGGATGGATGTTTGTACTTCAATGGCACATGAATGGCTGGATGGATTCTAGCATTATTTAGCATAAAAGACGTTCTTGATTAAGGGTTAAAATTACTCCTAGTGAAACGGGCGGTTATAGTATTGTACTCACGATGATGGGTTGGTCTTACTTGTGAGTACATGCACATTGTTTTAGTGTATGTGTAAGCTCGGTAGTCAAAAACTACTTATATTATTTTGTTGAATTACAATGGGCTGGCTTACGCATCCATAGTATTCTCTTGTCTTGGTTCCTTTTTCAGTGTTTAAAAGTAAGTATAACTCGTTAAATATCTTTACCAATGAACAAAAAGACACCGTTTTTTTGACGGATTGGAGGGTAAAAGAACTAGTCCATGAAGTGACAGTGCACTTAAAGCCATTTTGGCCTCCCACCGGGCAAGGTGTTCAGCCCCGGGAGCGGCCAATGCGGCTTCGTGTTTTTCCGCAGAGCTGTCTAGTGCAGTACTTCGGAACCACGATAGCGTGATTTAGGCTTCGGTGTGTTTCGCACACCGAATATATTTAAGGCTGCAATTGTCTATGGTCTGCAGGCTACTTAGGTCGCTTGCTTGCTTAAAATTATAATAAAACCTAAACTATGTTGTTAGTATTGCATGTTGTATATTTTCATATAATTACTTACCTGGAAACCTTCAAATGCGTCCTCTCTTCCCCATACGGACCTTTTCTTGCCAACCCGAAATCCCCTATCTTGGGCATTATGCACTGATCCAACAATATGTTTGCCGGCTTTATATCGCCGTGGATTAACGGTGTTCCGGCCATAGTGTGGAGGTATTGTAGACCTCTAAAATAAAATAAGAAATGTATATAAGCTGTACCTGTAAATAGTCAGCTAAACCATTAAATAAGTCAAACCATTGCTATAAAATTAAAAATACACAATCAATGTTGGTAATAATTCTTATCTACCGACTTCAAAAAGAGACTCAATTCGACTGTACGTTTTTTTTTCTTATTTTTTATGTGTGTTACTTCATAACTTTTTTCTGGGTGAACCGATTTCGATGATTCTTTTTTATTTGAAAGCTTGTGCTTCTCATGTGTGATCAAGGTCTGACCAATAGTTTTTGAGTTATTCTTAAAAATTTATATTGAAGTCGGTTATACAAAAATTTTTAATTTTAAATTATTTTTTAAAATTGCGATTTAGTGAGTACTCACATCAATTTTACAATTAGTTATTACTCTAAGTTCCATTTTTTTTGTTTTAAAATCTATACAATTAATTTTAATGACACGCACACACTAACACGCACGCATTAATTTTTGCTCATGAAGAGTTTATATCGCTATGGAATGATTTGTGAGTAGAAACTCGTAGAAAATCGTAATTTATTGGGTTATTATCAAAATAGTTTTTAGACGTTACAACTTCAAGACATCTGTACCGTTCGTTGTTTGAAGTTGGTTTGCAGATGTGTCACTTACCATCAGGTTGAGTATTAGCTCATTTATCTATTGGTATAATGAAAAAAGTTAGAAACTTTATGTCCATAACATACCTGGCAACACCATGGGCAATTTTGTAACGTTGCGACCACGTCAGAGGCGGATGTACGGTCTTACATCTCAGTCTTTGTTCCAACGAGCCTCCCGCCATGTACTGGTACACTAGACATGCTTCTGGACCTATTACAGACAACTAATAGTAAACTATTAAAAAAGTAAAATCAGACTTTAAAGAATTAAAAGATTAAAATAAATTCCATAAAAATTAATAGCTTCTGAAGTCGTTACTAAGACATAGTGTGTCGAAGAATTAGTGCCTATAAAAAGTTTCAAAAACGGTGAAAATATTGCATCCATCCATCCATCCATTACAGCCAATAAAATCCAGTGCTGAACATAGGCCTCCTCCATAGATTTACATCATAGGGGGAATTTGTCATAATTGCCACAAAAACACATTCAAAAAATACATACAGCCGAATTGACAACCTCCTTATTCCAAGTTGGCTAAAATGTAGGCGTATGAGATTCAACAACATAAAATTTATGAATATGATATGGTAAAAAATTATTGATTTCTTACACCGCCACTATACGATTATATGTAACAACATCTACTACCCCCATATCGTCCCGTGGGTTCGTAAGAGGTAACAGAAGGAAACTGAAACAGAAGATGGACCCAGCATCTTCCTGATAACAATAAACGCAAAATAATAAAAAACTCGCCAAGTGCGAGTAGGACTCGTGCATGAAGAGTTCTGTACACAGTTCAAAAAATTTCAAACATTCTCCTATCTTTTGGATTACATTATTTAACTGCACATTTTAGCTCCTGTAGTTAAAGAAAAGACAACAATAATACCTAAAGCACAATAATAAAAAAATCTCATTACTTTTAACTTTTTCCGTTATTATCTCATCAGCACTAGGGATTTTCTTACTTTGCATGAAGTTAAACCATAAACTAGTAAGCACACAAACTTTGTTATTTATGTGTAAGATAAAGGAGAATGGTATTTTTGGGCCTGAAGTAAACAAATTGATTTATACCTTAAAAATTGGCTTTATTTTTCTAAATTAAAACACAAAAAACTGGCTCATTTTACCATATAGAATTCGAAAAATCATAAAAATAAGAAATAATTTGAAAATCGATTATATTAATACAATCGATTAAAAGTTTATTCGGATCCAAAAATAAAAAAGCTACTAAGGTTTCACTAAAATTCTGTTATTTACTTTGAATGATATTTGAATTCGTTTGGAAATAAAATATATTATTCGTATAAGGAAAATAAGAAATAAACATTATGTCCAAAAATCGATTACAATAAAGAATCAATACACTAGTGAACGTCTTGTTTTTGAACGATACGTACCGCTAAACATCTTTTCATTTGAAACTTGACATGACGCTCCAAACTTCAAAACTATTCATATAATTTAAGAAAAAGAGATATTTTAAAATCGATTTGAAACGAGCGAAATGTAATCGATATTCAAATAAATCGAGCATTTTAATATCTATTTTCGATAATTCTTCTGTGTTAACGAGGGAGATAAAAATAATTGCGATCACATGTACAAAATACCTAATAAAAAAAATACAAAACATCATCATGCCAACAAATAACAGTAACAACAACAATTTACGTAATCGATCTAAGATCGACATGCCTAATATTCACTACACTTGTCACTTATTAATGTTGTTTTAACTGTCGTTAATTGTTTAACCATTTAGTTTCCTTGATAAACGTAGTTTTTCTTTAATAATTTTATATTGATCCTGCTTTTTTATGACCCTTGCTTCTTTATTAGGCACCGAGAATCTTGCTTACACGATTGAACCTGATTAGATATTGACATCATGGGCCATTGTTTTAATTGTAATATACTTATACATAGTAGGTCTGCGAATTTATAATTATATTATACTGTATAAATATTATAATTTTATTTAAGTTGCTAGTGTCAAATCGACTGTTACAGTGTAAGTAATAATACATAACGTCACTTTTACTTTATCTACGATAACTCAGCTACTAGATTGACGTACCTTATCAGATTTACAGCATGAATCGTTTATAAGTAAGCTTTTGAATGGTCCTAATTTCATCTTCCTTCTATCCCTTCTCCTTTACCAAACTTTTAAATAAATGCGCTTAATTTTTTTTCGTTCTCTTTTATTTGCTAATAATAGATTAATTTTGATTCCCATTATGTCTGAATCATAATTTGTTGTCACTCTAAAATAATTATTGTCGGCCATCAAAATAATAATAATAAAATATTTTACTTTATAAAGTACTAAGGCTTGTCGATAACGCTATAATAGTGCACTATCTGCGTATACACGGCAAACGTAGGGCAGAGCGCTGAGCGGCTTGACCTTTATCTGGGAAGCCTAATTGCTGTCCTATTTTGAATTGATCCAAACGCTAATTTTTATTGTAGTTTTATAGCTCATGTAAAAAAATAGTAATATTAAAAAAATTGTAGAAAAATAATAAAGCTATTTTATTTTTAATTTTAAAGGGTAAGGGAGTTCTTCTAACATATTAAACTATTATTTTAATTAATGAAGTAACATAAATTGGTGAAAATAATCGTTTTATCTACATTTCCATAAAAATTTCACTTGGTTAGAATTTTTAATTTTTTATGTATATAACCTCAAAATATTTTTTCTATAATAGTAACTGTTTTTCTTGGGGTTTGTCAAATTGATTGTATTTTTTTTATTTCGTAAAATTTTCAGCCATTTCAGATATTTTACGCTTTGAAGTTAACGCTAAAAGGGAAATAAAGAAAACCTCCGTTTAGTTTTCTTGATAGCATCCACAAATACTGTATTAATATTTAAAAAAATCTCTTATAACTATTTAAACCATAAAATTTCCTAAAGTTGTGAGTAATTAACATTTGTGTGAGATAAGCGTTTGATGGATATTAACAGGATTGAAAAGTACTGTTTTGAGCTAATCAGCGCTTGGAACGTGTATACGTTCTTAATCTGTCAAGTCTTTGAGTAATACATGAGGATAGTCCAAGGTCGTCTTTGTAGAAAGCTCCAAAGAGTATGTTAATATTTAGAAAGGAACCCTCAGAACCAAAGAGTATATAATCACTACGTTTAGTTAGAACCATAGTTGAGAGTGCTCAGAACAATACTTTTTTAAATGTTATTTATAACAATTATGCAACTAAAATTTTATTAGAATTAGTTTTGTTACTAAATTACGCTTCTCTAAATTAATAGAATTTACTTCTTCAAATAACGAGGTTCCACCTTTACCTACGCGTCGCGTTTACTTCACATACTTTAGTCTATTTCCTTCGCCGCGTGAGTGTAAGAGGCAAATATAAATTTAAAAAAATTAAGTGGGTACAAAAAAAGTTTGTTGTTAGTTTTTTATATAAAAGGTAAGTGTTTTTAATTACACTGTTTTTAAAAGTTATTTGCTTATATTTTGCTTCATAACAATTTTATACACTTTATAAAATCGTTCACGTATCACTTTATATTTAATAGTCAGAATTAACTGAAAATTAAATATAAAGTGGGAGTTATCACTATAAATCATGTAAAAAACACGAATTTTCATATTCCACAAAGTCCAATATGGGATAAATTACGTTTTATGTTATAATTGCGATATATAGTGAATATTATGGCGAAGTTGTTTACAACAATAATTAAAAATTAAAAATGTTGTACAACAGACTATTAGTCAGACCTTGATCTAATTTATATGGGAAGACATGTGAAGCACTAACTTTCATATTAAAAAAGAATCATCGAAATCGGTTCACCCAGAAAGGAGTTAGGAGGTAACACACATAAAAAAACATACAGTCGAATTGAGTACCTCCTCCTGTTTGAAGTTGGTAGAAAAATGGCGTTGGTCAAAGATAGCGTAATAAAGTATATGACTATGATTTAAATTATTTTTATTTTTAGCGGCTCCTACTTTTTGTTTATAGAAGAGGGGGCAAACGAGCATGCGGCTCACCTGATGGTAAGTGACTACCGCCGCTCATGGACAACCGCAACACCAGGGGAATTGCAGATGCGTTGCCGGCCTTTTAGAAAGGTGTAAGCTTTTTTCTTGAAAGTCCCTAAGTCGGATCGGTCCGGAAAAATCGACGGTGGTAAACAATTCCACAGAGAAGTTGTACGAGGAAGAAAACTCCTAGTAAAACGCATAGCCGTGGACCGCCATGCATCCAGATGGTGAGGATGGTATCGTGAATTTTGACGCGATGTGCGTTCGTGAAATTTGGCGGCTGGAATTAATGCGAACAATTCTTCAGAGCACTCCCCGAGGTAAATTCGATAGAAAATGCAAATGGATGCAATATCCCTACGCAGTGCCAGTGTATCGAGCCGATCAGAAAGAATTCGGTCGTCGACGATTCGAACCGCTCTGCGCTGGATGCGGTCAAGTGGAAACCGACTGAGTATATCGCTATAATTATATTATTCTTTATAAAAATCTAGTGTTTCTGTTCTTTTTTTCTCTTCATAGTTATTTGATTATAACATATAGATATTTAATTTTAACATATGGGGATTCGTCAGATATGCCTTAGTTGTTGAAGTGACATATAATATTTTTTTCTTTTTTTTTCTTTTCAGTAAATTTGTTTGGTTTTGTTATTTATTACTGTTTTAACCATTGAACTTGTTTACACAACTCTTATTTAATAAATTGTTTGATGTTGATGTTTGATGACTTCTTTTTACACACAAAAATATTTTTTCAAATAATAAAACTACCCCTTCCCTCTCCTTACAGTTTCCTTCCACTGCTGGCCATGGGCCATGGAAATTAATAGGAGCACAAAATTTTACTGCCACAAATATCACCCACATTCGCAACGCTCCCTAAACAACGCACGGAGCATCCGCGTTTTACCGAGATTAAATTTAGTAAAATTGTTCGTCTCTCTTTCCTCCCACATTTTTTTTCTTATCGCTATTACAACAAACACCGTTAAAGCCTATGAAACCCCCGCTGAACATAGGCGTCTACTATACGCCTCATACCGTATATTTGTCATAGTTGCCACGCTTGGCAAGCGGGTTGGCAACCACAGTTTTTTATTTATAGTTGTTATTAGGAAGACGCTGCTGCCCGTCTCCTGATTTATTTCCCTCTGTCACCTCTAAACATGAGTGATAAATAACATCACGGTGAAAAAGTTCCAAAATAACGCTGTACCTTCACGCCGCCACAGTACTATTTTCTCCGTTACTCCTGTCACTGATTTAACCAAACAAAATGAACTACGCCTCACACGGTAATTGATGATTTTTCAAAACATTTAATTTATCGACAAGTCGTTTTGAACCGTCGGTACTCTAGTGCTCACTTGACCTTCATACAAATAATTCGATATTTTAATTGTTGATAATTTTTTTTTTATTTCGATAAAAACATAGTAATGACTCTAAGTTATATTTGCCTTCATTAAAAAAATTGTCTTTGGCCTGAACTACTATACTCTTTGGCTTGACCATAGTTCTGACTAAGTTTATCCAATAAAATGTCAAGGTCTGAGAGGTTAATGCAATCTCAAAACTTATTTTAAGTGGACTATACTGAACAAAAACACCAATATTTAAAACACCAGAAACCTGAGCTCAATCCTCGACGGCATTAATGAGCGCTGATTTACCATGTGTTCCGTGGCGAAGGAAAATAGAGACGAAAATAGAGAAGGAAATAGAGAGAGAGAGAGAGAGAGAGAGAGAGAGAGAGAGAGAGATAGAGATAGAGATAGAAACCAACATTTCTGGAAAATAATATATGTCGAGGATATATGGAGTCATATGTGACATATAAATGAGACATAGGCTGTAATTATATCTCAAAAATACAAACCTCCAAGGCTGTATCCATACAATGGCAAAATATTGTCGTGCCGGTATTGGTTGAGACACATTTCGCCGATCAGTTCCTTATTGCTGCGTCCGTCGTTGTTACGTAATCGCTTCACTGCTACCGCTGAGAGCTTCCAAACACCTGGAAGTCGCAGTATTTCATTTCATTTCAACCGTTTCTTTAGTTAGAATAACTGTCCACATGGAAATAAATCTAGGACGGGTTCAAAACTGGCCGCGTAAATAATATGTCCATGACAGGCATTTCATAAAGTAAAATAAAATAACCTAAAATACATAAACACATAAAATAAATGGAAACTAAAATCATCGACTTTTTTGACTGCTTCAAAAGTGGATCACCGTCAATTATAATTACAATTTGAAATGGAACATCTTTATATACAGTGAAACCTGGATAACTGGGACCTTAAGGGACCTGCAAATTTGGCTCACTTAAAGACGCATTCCACTTACCCAGTGTCGCAGATATCCAGGTATAAATAAATGTCTGTCTCATTTACAGAGGGTTCCATTAATAGAGGTTATTTCAGTTATAGAGGTGCGATTATTAAATAAAAAAATTGTATTTTGTAAACATTATACATGAGTTGTAATCTTTATTAACAATCAAAAAAGCTATTAAACAAAATTATTTCAAATAAACATCCGGACGATAGCAAAACTAAACTAAAACTAGAAGTCACTTTTACACAATTAGCAAAGTGCGAAATTTGCGGGTAGAATAAGAATTAGTAAACAAAACGGTAAACAAAATATCAGTAAAAGAGCTAAAATATACTCGCTGTCTCAATTAGAGAGGTAATTATGACGAATAAATTCGAAAGAACTAATCTCGAAAATATAGTCTGAGTAAAAGGGGTAAAATACACTCACTGTCTCAATTATAGAGGTAATTATGACGAATAAATTCGAAAGAACTAATCCTTAAAATATAGTTTCAGTAAAAGGGGCAAAATACACTCGCTGCCTCAATTATAGAGGTAATTATGACAAATAAATTCTAAAGAACTAATCCCTAAAATATAGTCTCAGTAAAAGAGCTAAAATATACTCGCTGACTCAATTAGAGAGGTAATTATGACGAATAAATTCGAAAGAACTAATCCCTAAAATATAGTCTTAGTAAAAGGGGTAAAATACACTCGCTGTCTCAATTAGAGAGGTAATTATGACGAATAAATTCGAAATAACTAATCCCTAAAATATAGTCTCAGTAAAAGGGGTAAAATACACTCGCTGTCTCAATTATAGAGGTAATTATGACGAATAAATTCGAAATAACTAATCCCTAAAATATAGTCTCAGTAAAAGAGCTAGAATATACTTGCTGACTCAATTAGAGAGGTAATTATGACGAATAAATTCGAAAGAACTAATCTCTAAAAATATAGTCTCAGTAAAAGGGGTAAAATACACTCGCTGTCTCAATTATAGAGGTAATTATGACGAATAAATTCGAAAGAACTAATCTCTAAAATATAGTCTCAGTAAAAGGGGTAAAATACACTCGCTGTCTCAATTATAGAGGTAATTATGACGAATAAATTCGAAAGAACTAATCCCTAAAATATAGTCTCAGTAAAAGAGCTAAAATATACTTGCTGACTCAATTAGAGAGGTAATTATGACGAATAAATTCGAAAGAACTAATCTCTAAAAATATAGTCTCAGTAAAAGGGGTAAAATACACTCGCTGTCTCAATTAGAGAGGTAATTATGACGAATAAATTCGAAAGAACTAATCTCTAAAAATATAGTCTCAGTAAAAGGGGTAAAATACACTCGCTGTCTCAATTAGAGAGGTAATTATGACGAATAAATTCGAAAGAACTAATCCCTAAAATATAGTCTCAGTAAAAGGGGTAAAAGGGGTAAAATACACTCGCTGACTCAATTATAGATAAAATCGCAAGAACTAATGCCAGATATAAAGGTTTGTTTTATCCCACTAACAGAGGTAATTCAGAGGTTTCTCACTTATCCAGGTCCTACTTAACTAAGTCCGTGTGTTTGTCACTGAACTCGTAAACGGCTGGACCGATTTTGATGAAATTTTATGTATGTGATTAAGTTGATTTGAGAATGGTTTAGATTCACAATTGGACCTATTAGGTGGTGCTGTTGTCGAGATCCAGGAATCACCCGTGCGAAGTCGGGGCGGATTGCTAGTCAAACTGTATAAATTTTAATAACGTAGTCAGGGTTTGCTTAGCCACCAACACCTTTTTTCTTACCTTTGTATACTTGTCCGAACCCGCCCCTACCCAATAAATTGTTGTCGCTCCAGTTATTAGTGGCGATTTTCAACTCTTCATAGTCCACCATAGGTATGGCTGAAATCTTCTTGATGAGCTCATCGTCTAATCCGGACGGTTTAGTATCGTTCGTAGATGTGTTATTCTGAAATCATAAATAAAGATTGATGCTAACTTAAAAAAAGGGTATATTAGTTTGGAAATTTGTAAAAATTTCAATCTTTATTTAATGAGACAACAATCACGTGCCACTTTCACAGCTTTGTAAAAATAAAGCTTAGTCTTTCAAAATACTGTTTTATAAGCCTAAAGGTTGAATTTTATTTGTATAGTTTTTATGGTTTAAACTTTTTAAAGCGATAAATCGAATACGAAGCAAAATTATTTGTGAAAAAATTAAGAATCAAAATATGAATTGTCACCCTTGAAGACTAAGATGGAATAGTTTCCACTTTCCAGTAAATAGGGTATTCGGTTCTATACACTCACCACAAGAAACACGGTAGCATTAAGCTACTATTTTTCGCTGATATTCTGTAAGGGTATGGTCTTTCTCCGGTCGAGCCGACCCATTCGTGTCAAAATCATAATATAGCTGCAGTGTAGCTCTATCACGTATAAACGTGGCCATGCTTGGGAATAATTTGAGGGCATATGACGTCCTCTAACACGCAGTGGATCTGTCTGTGCCCAGCATAAAATATAATATTACGGCAATAAAATTAAGTTGAAACCAATATGTGTATATGTCCATACACATATTGGTTTCAACTTAATTTTATTTAACTTTTCCCATTATAAAACTTTTACGTCAAATGCCAACTTCAGTTGCACGCGATGGACAATCTATTAGTTTAAGTGCGTTGTGTCTACCCCGATATCTAAAAATTTGTGCTTTTGTCAAAATATTGCCTCATAATTTCGATGAAAGCTTCTCGACACGTGTTCTTTTTCTTTGACCAATAACCCAAGCGGTCATCAACTTTATATATTAATGCGTTTAGCGAACGACGAACGATTAGTGTATAATTGATTAAAAATAATTTATTGTTTGATAATTTAATAAAAGGAATTCGGCCAAAAAATTATATTCACTCGTTTATCAAAAACATGTCTTTTTGAATTTTTTTTTTATATAGGATAGGGTGACAAACGAGCACACAGTCCACCTCATGGTAAGTGGTTGCTGTGGCCCATAGACATCTACACCTATCCTCGTTTGCGAATCAAAATGCAGATGCGTTGTCACCCGTGAGGACTAAGATGGAATGCCTCTTTTCCAGTAAAAAGGGTCTCCGGTTCTCTACACTCACCGTACGAAACACAGCAGTGTTAAGCTGCTATTTGACGCTGGTATTCTGTGAGAGCGTGGTCCTTCCCCGGTCGAGCCGACCCATTCGTGCTACAACTATACTACTAATATAGCTGCAGCATGGCTCTACCACGTACAATCCACGTACAAACCACGAATAACATAAAGTCTAATCTGCCCACTGATAATAAATTAAAGGTCTGCAGTATTTTTACTGTACAAAGGTAGCATAATCATTAGTCTCTTAATTGGTGACTTGTACGAAAGATTTGATGAAATATATACTGTCTCTTTTTAATTTATAGAATTTAATTTTTTAGTTAAAAAGCTAAGATATATTTAAAAGACGAGAAGACTCTATAGAGTTTAATATTTAATTTATATTATTTTGTTTTTATAACATTTATAATTTTAATGTACATAATATAAATATTTTGTTGGGGTGACAAAATAATTAAAATAACTTTTTTTATAATTTTACATTAATAATGTATGTATGTACGAATATAAACTTGATTCTACGTACGAATACAAAAAGAAAACCGCAAAGAGCGAATTGTGAGATGGTTAACGAAAACAATGACTTACCGTACTTGTCTCCACACTTGACTCATCGTTAGGTGAGACACCGTTCGACACTCTACTGGATACCGGGATCTGTATTCCCTGGAATAAATCAGTGATTAAACAAAAAAGCAGTGCACTCCAAACTGTCATTTACTCACGAATTAAATAATCTTGGTTCCATTCGGTGTAGAGCCGAATTGTTTCAAATAATTCATGCATTCATTCATTACAGGTTATCAAAGTACATCGACCATCCCATAGATAGCCTCATAAAGGGGATATTTAATGATTTCTTATATTTATATTATACGCGAACACTGCCCATTTATATAAGACTAGTTTTAAGGGATTTTATCGAGTATATTAACTCATTTTATATTTCCGACGTTTCAAGTACTTTACAGCACCCATGGTCACGGAGGGGACTGACGTGTATGACGTCCCAATGTCATAGTTAACCACAATTATTAATTTTAATGCGTAGATGCGTATAGAATGCAATCGGATTTAACGAATCGGAACAAAAATTAATAATTTTTAATCTGGAGGTAGCCGTGGTTAACTGGGAACGTCATACACCTCAGTCCCCAGTGAGCCCCCCCCCCCCCACCATCTGTGTAAAGTACTCGAAACGTCGGGAATATAAAATAAGCTAATATACGCGATAAAATCCGTAAAACTAGTTTTATTTAAAAGGGGGATATTTGCCACGCTAGGCAGGCGGGCCGTAGTTTTTTTTATTTTTAGTTGTTATTTGAAAGATGCTGCTGCCCATCTCCAGTTTCATATCTCTCTGTCACACAATATTATATAGGCCCATGTCCAGCTGTAGACCGTTTAGGAACTGATGGTTCAGAAAAATGAAAAAAATATGAACGAAATTTTGTTATTGAAAATTATGTATTATATAATATACCTTTTGTATTAACATCACGGGTATAGGTATCGAAGAGTAAGTTCCATCAGCTTTTGCAGTCTGTTGATTCGCATTTTCTAAAACAAACAAGGCATTAAATTAAGATCGTAACAATTAAACACAATATACAGCAACACTAATTGTAGATGTGTTTTTTTTATATATAATGCTATAAGCGTTGTTAAGGTCGAATTATGATAAAATTGCGTATTGGAGAATAACTTTTAATGAATAAGTGTATATAAATTAACTAGTCATATTAAAACGCATTTTGAGCAAGTCATTATTCAGTTGAACAGAGTTTGTCCATACATTTTCATTCACAATTGACCTTTGTAAAGCTCTTTTCAAGTGTAAAAAGCTAGCCCATAAATTCACCACGTCCCAACTATGAAAGACCTTGTGCAAAGAAGCGGCAATAAACACAAGTAGACGACTACTTAGTCATATAAATAAATAAATAATATAGTATACTCGCAGTGCGAAATTTGTCAAAAAAATAGTAATTTAGATTTTAGATTCTGTAAATAGTAGGAACAAGCACAAGTTAGTTATACCAGTTACTCAACTCCAACGACTCAGTAATTCCTTCATGGGGCAATGTATTGTACGCTTTTATAACAAATTCCCAGAAAATATGAAAATTGTTTAATAAGGATTATGTATGGAGAGTACATGTTTGAGAATAACAACTGGAAATGAGGTGTTCGCTACCATACTGCTTCTAAACATTTTCATAAGTCATCATTACAGCCCTTCACAAGTCCACTGCTGAACATAGGCCTCCCCCAAAGAATGCCACAAAACACGGTCCTGAGCCACCTGCATCCATTTTCATAAGTAATTGTATTAAATATTATATTGTAAATTAATGTTTAAAAAAAAGTCCCGCTGGGTTTCTTGTTAGTTCTTTCCAGGACAGAAGTTTTTTTTTTTCGAACCAGTGGTAAAAGCATAAAAGACTATTTATTCGAAAAATGTAAAGGTTAATGTTTCTTTTTGTACTATTAGTAATATTTTATATAAATTACATTTAAAATAATTTAACCGAACAACAGATATTCACAAAATTAAAAAAAAGTTTAAAATATGCAAAAAATTAAAGAGCAGACCACTGACGCACTACTTTGTGTATTAATATAGTACTCTAGAAACTGATAAACTTAAAAACTAACTTCTCAATTAAATGACATTGCATAACAAAAAACTTTATCTCAGTGTCAACTAGCGACATCTGGCGAGCAGAAAATTACTAGCCCTCATTGTGTAACTAGAGAGAATTGTTCACCGGTGGGATTTACTCCACAACTGCATTATGTATTTTCATTACATATTTTATAACCTAAAATAGGATACCTATTAATATAAAAAAGACATCGGCTTATACTCTAGTATACTAATAAATTAACACAATACAACACAAGTGGTAAAAATAAAAATTTTGTACAAGTGACTTCAATATAAATAAAATGAGAACATCATCTAGTAGTCGAAGTCAATTAAATACGCATTATTAAGGATAATTCAAAAACTACTAGTCAGATCTTGATCAAATTTATATGGGATGAGAGCACATGAGAAGCACCAGCTTTCAAATAAAAGAATCATTAAAATCGGTTCCCCTAGAAAAAAGTTCTGAGGTAACACCAGGTAACACTCATTAAAAAAATACAGTCGAATTGAGAACCTCCTCCTTTTTTTGAAGTCTATTGAAAACCAAATGCAAAAGTCACATTGAAGTCAATAACATGTCCCACCAGAGTTACAAAATCACATTGTCGGTCCGGAAACAACGTGATTTTACTAATTTAATGTGATAATCATATTACATGCATAAGCATAATATAACGTAACATGCTAATGTGCTATCTACGATTCTGTCACGTTCACTTTTCTTTGGAATCTCCGCCACATGATCTACAACAATGTCGCCTATTGCTTTGCTCTTATTACGTATTTACTGTTCTTTGTCTACGCTCGTTAGTTATGAACTATGGTAGCTTAGGGCCAAGCGCTCGCCGAAGATTTCACAGTACGCGAGCAGCCAGGGTTCGATCCCACTTATGAAATTGTTAATTCCAATCTTTAATGGCTTCGTGCTTTAGACGGTAAAGTCCGTCAACACGTACCAGAGGAGCACGGCAGATCAATTACTACATGACCCACTAAAAATGAGGATAGGCATGTACCCAGCGTAATGCTTACTGTAATTTATATTTCCTGCAATCTTTTTGGATTAGATTAACAAGTCAACAAAGAATGTTGTTTATTAAACAATAGATAATTTCACTTCGCATTTTCCTGCTTTTTATAAGGATATAACACAGCCGCTTTGTGTGCGTTAAAATAGATTTCATTAAAATAATTGACTCATGCATACTTCAATGGTCATGTTTATGAATAAACTCGTACCAAAGAATAAATAATAGTACGACGCACTAGTACTATTGTACAATGTCTGGAGGAATTGTTATGAAAAAGGTTTTTCTTTTAAAAATATATTGTAGGGCTGGGCATAGGCCAAAACATGGAAGACCAACATATAAAGGATTTACCATTTAGCAATAATAGTTTGTGTTTGACGTGTGGTGGCGGTCCAAGAATAGTACAACCTCTTTTCCTCTACCACACCCTTTCGTCCTGTGGGTGTAGTAAGTGGTGAGATGGGTTTTCTTACATGGCCATGCTACAGCTATATTGTGGTTGCAGCACGAATGGGTCGGCTAGTGCGGGGTAAGACCACGCTCTCACAGAATACCAGCGTAATATAGTGGCTAAATGCTGTTGTGCTTTGTAGCAAGTGTAGAGAACCGGAAACACTTTTTACTGGAAACGAGGCATTCCATCTCAGTCCCCTGAGGACAACGCATCTACATTTTGATTCTTAATTGAGGATAAATGTAGATGTCCTTGAGGCACATCATCCACATACAATCAGGTGGACTGTGTGCTCGCTTAACACCCTTATTCTATAAAAAAAACTATGAATTCTACCAGAAAAATGTTATAGCTTCCGGTATAGAACGGTATAACCGTCTCGTTTTCGCCATAATCAAGCCGGGCATGAGATATGTACCTTAAATTAGAGGAATTAAATTTTACTTACCGAGAAGCTCATATTCACAATCACAAATCGGCGTTAATTCTAAATATTGTGCTGTGTAATGTTGTAGATGTTACGGTGTGTCTATGATAGCGTATAGCCGAAACTCACTAGCGATTATAAACTATAAAACGAATTATATTAATAATGCGGTAAGAGCACAACACGGTGCAACAGCGGGCACGGATTAACGAAGACTTATATTAAACTAATGACCCTTTCCTTTTGAAGGTGAAGTGAAGTGACAATTTTTACTCACACCACCGCCATCTGATAAAAATATAATCCAGTAAAATACTCAAATGATACTGCGACCGTCAATACGCCTGGCAAACATTTCTTTTGTATCTAGAATAAGGATGACAAACGAGCACATAGTTCACCTGATGGTAAGTGCATGCTGTGGCCCATAAACACCTACATGTGTACCGATTAAGAATCAAAATGAAGACGCGTTGTTACCCCCGAGGACTGAAATGGAATGTCTCGTTTCCAGATAAAATTGGCTCCGGTTCTCTACACTCACCCTACGAAACACAGCAGCAATAACTACTATTTTATGCCGGTATTCTGTGAGAGTGTGGTCCTTCCATGCTACATCCATGATATACCTACCTGCAGCATGGTTCTACTACATTAAAAAGGCGTAGCGAGGCACATGCCCAGGAGTCGGCTTTTGAGTAATACAATAAAAATTTATGACTGTGATAATAACATTTAATATATATTTACTATTATGTTAATGCAGTGAAATAACCAAGCCCAACTTTTCAGGTATTTGAAATAACACTTACCAATGCTATTTTAATGATTTAAATATAAAAAAAAAAAATTTAAATATCAAAATAGATTACAAGAAATATATTTTTTAAAATTTTTTTTTCATGTTTTAAAATTTAAAACATTAGTAACATACAAAAGTTATAACTTGTAATTTGATAAGCCTATTAGTTTGACAGAGAATTTAACAATGGCAGCTATACTAGTATAGTTATTCCATTTCATGATGAAGGTTTGACTTTGTTGTTGTTAACTGTGCTCATACACAATCGCGAGTCGAACGAATCACAGTTACACACACAAACGTGAGTGTCGGTACAAGTCACTATTACATTCATGGTGAAACCTTCATCGTGAAATAAAATAACTATAATTATAAACTGTGTCACAGATAGATGCCTTTATTAATTTTGTAAGTAGTCTCTGAATATAGTCAGCCAGCCTGAAGCTAGTTTTAAGATAGAGCAAGAATTTTATTTAAAAAAAAAAGCTAGAAGTAAATAGTTAATATAGTAAATTAATCTTTAAATGCCCAATATCATATGCTTGTTGTCATATAGCTTTATATCATGTAGGGCTTTCATTACGGAAGTCTCGATTTCGACAATTTTTATGTATTATCTAGACTCGGATTTCGTTAATTAAATTAAATCATAAAAAAGGAAATGCTTGAACCATTCCTCAAATTAGGATGACAACTAAATATGATTAAAAAAAAAGTGGTAATTTTTTTAATTTAAATAATTTCACTTGTTTTTGAACTTCTGTAAATCTACTTAAATGTTTGTTACTAGCTTAATAATTTACATAATACAATAAAACCAAACATCAAATGACAAAATAAAATCAAAAACAAAATTGTGTTCCAAATCTTATACGGTTCATCATCATCATTAGTCTTTTACAAATCCTTTGTTAAACATAGCCCTCCTTCAAGAAATGCCACAAAACTGTCGTTTCTCATGGAATAATATTGCTGGCAATCTCTAGGCTATGTTTTCCTGTGACACCTTTTACGGTATACTATCATCATCATCATCATCATCATTACAGCCCTTCACAAGTCCACTGCTGAACATAGGCCTCCCCCAAAGAATGCCACAAAGCACGGTCCTGAGCCACCTGCATCCATCGACTTCCTGCATATATTCCGGTATACTATACGGTATATTATATGGGGTGGTGAATATTCTTACGCTGCCACCATATGGTTTGTATGGTAATATTCCATGTAAATAAATATAACTTACCATTAATACCAGCTGTATCGTTACATCTAACACCTTTATTGCTATCTTGTTTACTTAGAAGTCTGTGGAATCTACTGTCGACAACTGGTACGAGGCATCGTAGAGCTGGTATATGCTTCATGCGATACAACAAGATAAAGAGTTCCTCAACCCGATGATTGAGCTGTCCCCATCTAATAAACAGCTGGGCAGTTGGAGATGATGTTTGGCGTTTTGCCACTTGTTCAATTTCCTAAAATAGTATCCAATTATACAATTTAAAGATAAAGTGAAATAGCATGTTAATAATGTAAAAAAACAGGTTCTATTGATCTATGACGAGAAGTTAGAGAATCCATCACCTTGTCTTAAAATACTACGAACTCAAAATAATAAAAAAACTGCAGTTGCCAACCCCCTTGCCAGGCATGGCAACTATGGCAAGTGTCTCCTCTATGAAGCAATCTATGGGGGGGCTTGGTTCAGCAGTGGACTTTAATAGGCTGTAAATATTATTAATAGAATTAGGCTTTACTTTGTGGAAGTTTTTTCCATTATATTGAAGTTGTTAGATCTTAATTTACTTATTTCCATGTAATTAAATAAAATGATATGTCCTGCCCAGTTTGAAGAGCACCTCCCTCCCTCCCTCAATTGCGTGCACTATCCCCGTCACCACCAATCCCAACAACTGACAACTGACTCAGTCTCAGCCACAGCAGTCTACTGAGAAAATTCTTAAGGTTGTGCTACTCTCAGCGGGACAGTCCCTCTTCCTCTCAAAGTCTAATTTTTATAATTAAACTTATGTATTTGCTCAAACACTCAGATGAAAAGTTCTGCTTTTGTCGAGACGTCACGATTTATAACCCGGAATTGAATCACACACAGGACAGCTCCGCTTTTTAGAAAGCGGCAACGCGGGCGCCTTAGTTAGTAGCGCTAGTAGAACGTACGTGATCTCAATGTCTTACAAACATTGGGAAAACCTTCAATTTTACGACGGAATACTTTTGCGCAAGGGGAAATCCCAAACTTCTCGAAATGTTGAAGATAATATTCATATTATATACCTAAGAATATCACTTACATTAACATCAAAAGGCGAGTATTTCATATGAACACCAGCTAGTTCTTTCCAATTATCGTCACTGTCAAGTAATCTACACAATTCCTTGTTTACTTCAAATGGTAACTGATAAATATACATTATAAATTTCGTTTATTTTTGTCACAATCACAATAACCCTCACATTACACCTCAGTATCATCAATCACTGTCAAGTGTCAACTGTCAATGTCAATTGTCAAGTGATCAAGTTTAGTGAGGGGTCAACTCGAGCTACTAACACGAGTTAACTCGAGTTGGATCTTCCTACCTCGAGTTTGAGCTACTGTACATGAACGGGTCAAGTGAGCCAGCAAAAGAGTAAGAGCGCGATTCGTTCGGTGTGCGACGTTCGTTGTATGTTTCAAAGAGTATTTAGCTACAAGCAAACAATTTGTTATTTAGAAGTTTATAATAGCTAAGTTATGTTATTTAATTTCTTTTATAATTTTGATTAATTATGATCAATATAGTTATATAACTCGCAGACCTTTTGTAATACTTTTGTAATAAAAAAGAGTGGTTAAGTTGTAAGATCATCATATTTTAAATTAAAGCCAAGTAACACTTAACTTACAATAAATATTTTGAATTTGAAAAAATTTTATTTATTTAAGAATATTTTAACTGTCATAATTAAACTATTAATAGCTTATGTACCTACATTTAAAGCTAGACTAATATCGTATCGTGAAGACTATTATATAGCTTTTTTTTTGTTAAATACATGTACTTACTATTACTAAGATTAAAACCAAAAATACATAAATATGTGATACATACGAATTATACATTTTATATAATAAGTTTGGTAATTATAGTTCTATCCCAAGTCCCAACCCACCAAAGAGCTAGATAGAAAAACAAATTTTACAAGAAGTTATTTGTAACAAATCATTTACTATGTTTCGTACTCGAGTTGCGTGGATTTCAACTCGAGTTAACTCGACTCGTAATTTATCCGAGTTGGCACAACTATAATCAAGTCAAGACTTCGAGCATAGAAAAACTCAAGACAACACTGACAACTACAACACTATCTGACAACAGTCAACGGCGTGATCAGTGTGACCACATTTTTTTGTTGTTGAAAAATCTACTTAACAGATCAGTGAAAATCTACTAAATTCTACTAACTAACAATACTAACTAAAAACCATTTTCTACACAATATCCTAAATCATTAGTCGCATCTAAAAGGGTTATATATATATTTTTTAATTCATAATCCATGTCATCTCATCGCATTATTCTTTTAATTTTTAGAATTTTTTTAGACAATATATTATAATACTTATAAAATATTTTAAGAAATTCCAATGTTTCTGGACATATTTCCGCAAACTATAACTTAATGTATAATATATAATTATGTAAGTAAAATTATATTATAATTAAGTAGTGGAAAATAAATTAATGGGTTAGTCACAAAATGTACATTTTTGTTCTATCATCAAAATCTACTTATCAACAACAGGTGAATCCGGCCACATATTTTTATATGTAGGTATGTGTTAAAAGAAGCCAATCTGCTCAAGACTTTACAATTATATTATATGCTTTTCAATGATCACTGAATATGTCTTTCTTCGATCTCGATAACTAAATTAATTAGAAAATAACCACAACACAGTTTTACTTAAGTTATGGAATTACAAATGAAGAACATTTTTTATTGTTAGCTATAGAAAAAAAACTGTCCGCTTTTTATGCTTTTATTTAATGTAAGACCTTAATAGTAAAATACAATGTTTATTTTATATTTTTATTTCATGTTAGTTGTAGCGGTAATTTCCTTTCAATAAAAATAACGTGCAATGTGTTTCTAGGTACTATGATGTATGAGTGACTAATAGTAAACCAACATTTCTACCAAAATTAAGTATAAAGTGACCAAAGATGACCAATTGAAGTTCCTACTTTCACGCATGAGTTACATTTTTCAATAGATTTGTCTCTTTTTGTCCTATTTGAAAATAAAATTAGGTAATGCAAGACAAGTATATTGACTCAATTTATGTAAAAATGTAGGTTCTCTCCATAGACTTAGAATATACTGGCGTATAGACGACTAAGTCATTGTGTGCGTTAGCTAGTTATGTAAATTTTACTTACAAGGACTATCCAAAAATTATGGTTAAGGAGCGGTAAAAAAAAACAAATCTCCATAAAAAATCTAGCAGATTTTAATTCAAAATATATAAAGTCCCTTAAAATATTTTCCCCGAGAATCAGATCGGAAAGTTGTATTTTCGACCTTTGGAGAAAACTTTACTACCATGGACAGTTTTCCTGGAATTTATTTTTAATATAACGTTAATTTACTATAAATAGGCAGATAATTAATTAAGTATATAAGTTATACTTTATATATTTTATAAAATGTTTTGCTGTGGAAATAAAAAACGGGGACACGGAGTACATAATGGCTACTTTATTTGTCATATAACTATTATTTTAATAATTACAAACATTTAATAATTAATAGTTAAATACATTATAGAAATTGATTTTAACATTCGACTTAAATATGAATTTTAACTTAATAATTTAAATAAGGAAACTTGTAGGAATCAGTTAAGTAAGATTGCTCTGTTTAAAGGCCAATATGTTTATGAGGCTACTTTCTCTTTATTTCATCTGTCCCTAAAAAATAATAAACTTATTATCATTTTAACTGCATGAATTTAAAAACATAATGATCTTACACAGACTAGCCAAATACACAGCAGATATGAAAGTGTACAAGGTGTCTGAGGATACAGATGCACTGTCTATTCTCTCAATCTCTGTGTGTTAAGAAAGCGGTCACCCATCCAAGGACTGACTGCGACAAATGCAACTTAATCTTAAAGAACTATTGATCCGCGCAGTTGTTAATTAACCATGAGTTCCTCTTCTCTACGCCTAATGCTTTAGGCGATGAACCACGTTATCAAGCCTTCGGCATACTGTCGTCGGGCATCAAGCATAAATCGGGCATCGGGCGTTGTGAGTATCAAATACTATGGAATTTGTACTATCCTGGCAAACTGAACCGCGCGTCTCTTGCGCGGGCATCTAGCAGCACTTCAGGAGCATTACTAAATATCTATACCTAACAAAGCTAAAAGTTTTACTGTTAAGTTTTATTTGGAATATAATCCCCTCAACCCCTTGGGGAAAATAGCGTGATGCTATAAACATTGTACTAGTGTGACCGTGAGGTGCACTAGTATTTTTTTTTGTTGAATAATAGATACTCAGTTGGGTTCATAAATGCTTAAATAGGATAATCACAAGATATTTAAAAAAATCATTCAAAATCAAAATTCCAAAATCATACAAATTATCAACAATGTGACTTTTTCATTGCAAATTTTTTGGTAATGATTATTTGCGAAATATATTTTATACCAAATATTTTACATGTTTACTCTAGGAATTGACTCAACTATATCAAAATTAATGTCAATATTTATTTTGAATGTTTATACGAGTATTGAACCAATAGACATGCCCACATAACAAGAAAATAAATCCTCGGTTTGCGTTCTAAAATGTAATTTTATTTTGCCATTTGTCAAACAGATTCCCTCCGGATTCTATAATTAGAATAATGGTTATGGTTGATTAATCTAGATTAATATCTTTTGAATTCTGAATGACTTGTTAATATTTCAGAATATTACACCACTACCTTTTAAGATGCTAACTGAAATAGATAAAAGAACAAAACGGAAACTAACCTTCAATAATGGGAATGATAATAAACATACAGTCAAACGTGAAGTAAAATAAAATTTTATTTTATTTTAATAAAACGTTTAATTTAAGTATAACAAAATATTATTACTTCAGGTATGAGACTTAACCAGAGAGCGCAATCATGTTCTTGTCAGTTGCTTATAGGAGGAACATGATTTAAAAATGAAAAATATGTTAGAATCTCTTAATTTTATTAAAGAGGAACATAATTTAAAATTCAACAAATGTTATTGGAAAAAGAAGAAACACAGCTTCGAGTTGAAAAACTAAAATTAGAAATTTTATTATTAAAATCAAATTTACTACAATAAAGCATTTTCGTTACTAAAAGTGTCTTTCAATGAATAATCTCTTTGTTTCTTGACTTCCCTTAGCACTTGTTGGTCACCATTATCTTCGTGACACACTAAACCTTTTAACCCTTAAACTTATTACTTGTAATAGACATCGGAATTTTTTATGTGCGTGCAATCGATAGCACCAATTACCTGCTTAAAGTCACAAATGTTTCTAAATCTAGAAACCACTTATTCTTGTTCTTCTAAAGTACTAGGCATGAGTATAAATTGTGCCGCTTTACTGGCCAAAGCAAGAGCTGCTCTTCGGCATATATTCGTGATGGACTGTTGGCTAAGCCCATGAATGTCTGCTGCATCATTTTGAACTTTTTGCCTAGCCCACGTTCTGAGAGCAGTACAAACCTGAAGTTCTACAGACAGCCCCTCACCACTAGATTGTAGTTCGATATGACGTTGTCGTTTATTGGTAATGTTAACGTTATAACTCTGGTATACGTCGTGTGTAAATCTTTATTAGTAAGGCTATAAAACTGTAGCACATTCTTTTTATCTTTATAAAAAATCTTGAGATTATCCTATTTAAGCCATTATGAACCCAACTAAGTATCTATTTATCAAACAAAAAAATGTACAACCTTACTTCACTACCCGCACCTCACGGTCACACTAGTGCAATGTTCATAGCATCACACTATTTTCCCCAAAGGGTTGCGCGGAGCTTCGGATTATATTCCCAAGTCATAATGATAAAAGTTTTAGCGTAGTTAGATATAATGTGTGCCAATAGACGCCCGCGCATGGACGCGCGGTTCACTATGCCAGGATAGTATAAATTTCATAGTATTTGATACTCACAACGCTCGAGACTACAATCATAATACGTTCCATTTTGCAGACACAGATTTCCTCTCATTTCAGAGAGGAATGTGGAACAAAGAAAACGCCGCGCTCTCCCAGTGCACGTTGGCGAACTATAGAAACATGTTCTCAAGATATAATATTTATTGGCTGGTTGGTTAGTTTTCTCATGACGTTTTGCTTCACGGGCAATACTTG